GAACAAATCCCTAAGACTCCAATGGACACACGGTGTTTGCATCAGGGAAGGAGACGCAGCACACGAGGACCTCAACTTGACGCCACAGTGAGACCTCAAGTTCGTGACCCCATGGTCACGCAGGTCACGAAAAGAACACGCAGGTCATGAAAGCCTGCCAAACACTTCAGGAAAACGAAAGACATCTGTGGCGATGAAAAGGAATGATGGCTGCAATGGCTGCGTATCCTGTATCCAACGCGTGACTTGGATGGCCCCGCTGGTCCAGAACGGATCGAGCTCCATTCGTGCATGGTGAGAACGTCTCTAAAACTTCGATATTTCCCCCAAAACTCAATGCGTCTAGATCTCTAGACTTTCTGCTTACAGACTTCACACGCACACTGTTTGGGGTCTCTTGCCGGGATAATTCTAAAAGAAGTTTCTTGTTGCATGGCTTGCTGCAAATCAACCGTTCGAACCCAATCTTCGCTCGAATCTTCGGAGCCCGGCCTTTCTTCTGCGCCAGTGTCATGAAGCGAGAGCCACGTTTGGTGACCTCATAGTAGTGGTAGTTGTTGGCGGGGTCCCAGGTCAAGCCACCTCCGCCATTCACACCTTCTCCCGCGCTACTCAGCCAACAGGTTTTCGGGCCATGGGTCTTCCCATCGCCCTGCTCAGCATAATCGAAGGATGTACACCATGGATTTTCACAGCAAAGAGACCGGCACTCATCGACCGTCTTGTCGGCCACCACATAGCGGTTGAAGCCCGGCAAGTAGTAACCCATGGAGGAGGTAAACTCACATGATGGACCTTACGAAAAATGGCAACATGTGGGTTCCTACTAATCCATTTCTATGGCACTTGCCCAAAAACTCAAGGGCCCCCACCACCAACGCCCAGCTCGCAATCAGGGCGCATTAGTCTTGCGTGGGTCACTGAACTCTTCTCAGACACCTTGAGCATGAAAGACTTTTCTCTATCTACATATGTTGGGCTTTCACTGGACTCATTGAAATCGACAAGCATCCAGTGCCTGCACTGATGTAGATAGACGAACACTGCGAAAAAATGCAAAGGTTCATATAAGGTTCTTATTTTAGGAGTCACATGGTCGCTCGGGTGAACCCGCACTTGGAGGACTGGGGTGTCGCATGCCGCATGGATGGGAGAGGCACACCACCCAACTCCATGTGATTCCTGGTCTAAAGCCTTTTCTCACTGAGGAGCTGGTTGCGGGACGCCACAGGATGAGCTCTTGCTCATCACCGGATGCCAACAATGGCCCCGAGGGGATCCAGGCGATGGCTTTCACTGGATGGGTGTGGTCATAGAGCAGAGTGGCCAACTTCCAGGAACCCTCGTGATGATGCCAAATTCCTGACGACCAACACATGGAGATTAAAAAAGAAACGAGATGATGTCAAAGCCCCACATTCCCCAACCCCCCCGAATTCCAGCCAAACTGAATCCAAACTGATTCCCACTAACATGTCAATGTCCAGGAATTGGTGCCTGACTCGCGACCCGTTTCTGGAAAATAGAGGTCCCCGTTTTTTCGGCATCCTGATGCTTCTTCTAGCAGGGTGTCCCAAATCCACAAAAAATAACGTTGAACATATTGGGTGCTCCGCGTACTTCCTGGGTAGGAAAAAAGGACTTCTGCAGCAGATTCCCACCAAAAACAGGGGAGGGGGGGGGCGGGCTCGACTGCGAGCCCTGCGAGCCCTGCGAGCCGTCAGCGCTCGCAGTCAGCGCTTTCTCATCTCAGAGTCCCACATTTGAGTCCATCGATGCACTGGCCAACAGTCCCATGGAGGGCAAAAAGCTCAAGCTGGTGACCAAGCGCGAATGTCCACTGAGCCTCAGCCGAACACGACTTCGTTGAGGGGTCCAGGTCGGGGGTGCCAGTTCCGAACGGAGGATGTCGAGGTGACCGGAGCACCACGAGTCACGTGACTATTCGTGACTCCAAAGACAGCCACCCCGGGCCTATGTGACTCCTGGTAGATTCAGCAAATGTGGATGAATTTGCAAAGACAGCCACCCACACCTGGCCTTGCACTTTCCTTCTCCGCCTATGCCTTGATGGGGTCCACCCCTTTCTGCACATCCGGGGCAAGACCAAAGACGACGACTAAACCCTCCGGCACCGCGTCCCTTCCCTCGCTGGCCTCGTGAGCTTGCTCCACTGATCGGACTTGACCCAAATCTCGATGTCAGCAAAGGAGGCCAAGGCCAGGCCTCAAAACAAAGCTCCCTAAGAAGTCGCGTCCGTTCCGGGAACGTCTAGGCCAGGCAGGCGGCCGCCCCCGGGAACGTCCGATCGCGAACGGTTCGTATAGCGATGCCCGACATGCTCCGTAGGGAAGCGTGCTCTACCCTAGTAGCGAGGCCGCCAGGCCTTGCGTTTGCCCGAAGGTCACCACTTCAATCGCCTTGGGCGCCCAGGAAAAGGGGCCCAACGTCTCATGGGTCTCTTCTCCTGCGAACGAACGAACGGCGGTTGGCCGTTGAAGAGCTTGGAACGGGGAAAGGGGGTGGAGCCGACGAGGAGGTCTCAGGAACTTCAAGTTAAGGTGCTTACTTACTTATACTTCAATAGGCTTTCAACTCTTGAGACTCACATAGACTTCATAACACACTTCGTTTTTTCCACACCCCCGAAAGCTTCAAACATCTCATTCGCTGTTCGCCATCTCATGTCCTGCCAAAGCTTTCGTCATGTTCGCCATTGGCCAGAGTGTCACCATCTCATCTTCTGTGGCACCCAATAAGCCCAGCGAGGTGTGCTTGAGATACTGCAACCGGCTCGTTGCCGCCATGGTGCCCAACAAGCTGAGCGAGACGCTATTCAGCTGCCAGAAATCAATGGATGTACCTATAGGTGAGTCTGACAGCTACTGACAGCTTTTTGGAGATGTTATGCCTACTTCAACTTTTGATCACCAAAGCCTGTCAGAACCTCAAACTGAACAGAAAGGGATGAGTGGGAAAAGGATGGAAAGGGCAACACAATCACAATCTGATTCAGCAATCAACAATTCCCACCGCACTGAACCACCACCACCCAGCTGTACCAGCTCTCCCAAGGAACTCCCCTCGCTGGCGCTCGCCACCCAATCCGGAGAGATGGCCAGGGAATACGCTGGTGCGCTGAGCAATCCGGTGCAAAAGATGCGTTCGCCTCCGGCTCGAAGCATGACTCTTTCCATGCAACAAAATCCACTCATGCGATCGCCTCCAACCTAATAGCGATGGCCTCCAACGAGCGATGGCCTTCAACCTAATAGCGATGGCCTCCATCAAGCGATGGCCTCCAACCTAATAGCGAATGCCTCCAACCTAATAGCGATGGCCTCCAACCTCAGAGCGATGGCCTCCAACCCAACAGCGATCACCTCCAACCTATAATAGCCATCGCCTCCAACCTAAGAGCGATGGCACCCCACCCTAAGAGCGATGGCCTCCAACCCAAGAGCGATCACCTCCAACCATAGGATCGAAGGCCATAGTAACAAGAAGCTACTAGGAGCAAAGGGCAACGCTACTAGGAGCTCCTGGCCTTACTACTAGGAACAAGATATCCTCAGAAGACAACACACTGTAATACCCAAACTCTTGCTTTCATAGGAAAAAAAGGACGATTCTCGCGATAAAAAGGACGATTCTCGCGAACAAAGATTTAGAGCCCCTAGTAGTTTCTTGTTGGTAGCGATGTTTGTTCGCCTCCATAGGATCGAAGGCCATAGAGGCAAAGCTTTGGTTCCTCATTGGCGACCACCGCCACCTCGCTGCCGCCCGTGGTGCCCACCGCCACGTTCACCGCCGCGGCGTCTGCAAGTAGGTCACCAATCTTTTCAGCAACCATGATGGCTGCTGCTGCTTCTTCAAATGACACATCCTGCTGCCATGGGCATGTGGTGTCATTATATGAAACAGCTACACTGCAGGCCTGATATGAGTAGTAGAGTGAGCTTGAACCAACGGTGGTTGGCTGCACATCAGTGAGTGTGCAAGAAGCGCTCACATAGCACCATGCCCTGCAACACCATAAGCCAGATGTCGAATCCGGGTAAAGCTCATTGCACTGTTGCAAAGTACCGCAGGCATGTGCTGAGCAATCTCCATCATCCCAGGCGGCGCAAGAAGTGCCATACTCCACAGGAAGTCCGCGGGAGACACCTGCCGAGCCAGGACCGATGTTGGTGCAGGCACAATTTCCAGCCGCGTGGTGGATCAGAAACAAGCTCACGCAGCAGACCGAAGCGGTTCTCAACGCACGCGACATGGCGAGTTCGGGCGACGAAGTAAGTGGCTTTGAGACATATGAAGTTGTTGGTCAAATTAGTTCCAATTCTTTTTGGGGGTAGTTTTGGAAAACATACTGCCTCTATATTTACAAGCCGCAGCAGAAGATGCACAGTAATCCTGCGGAACGTCAGCTACAGTGGATTAATCATTGATGTACAGCATTGACCAGTATTGTACAATGCATGAGCAAGTGACACACTTCATCACTTCAAAAAAAATACCAGAGTCAGCAGTTCAGCTGTGGCTAGACCTATTATAGACAAACGATCAGTGGCAAAACACCACATCCATGCGCCTCCCCGTGGAATACCCAAGGAATGGTTAATTCACCGTCTCTCGCGCCTCACCATTTGGGAGAGTGGAAGCCAAATACCCAATAGCACTGCAACTTCGATTTCCCTTTGAGTCTCAGATCGGCGTGATGACGAAGAGCCGTCTTTCGGCTAAATGAAAGAGCTTGGATGGCAAGAGCTTGGAGCGAACCCATGCAGACTGATTGATAAAACAGCATTAAACCGACAGAATTGGTACATCTCCCTGCGGAGAATGGGAGAGAAAGATGGGCAAAAGAGATATATCGAATCTTCTCACGGGGAGTGACCACTCGCACTGCGATCCAACCATCCATGGGCGCTACTTCTCTTTGGAGGCCATTTCCCGTCCTGTCGTCCCGTCCCCGTCGTCGCGGTGTTCACCCGAGGCACATTGATCCCGCCGACCACGTCATGTGTGGCCGCATCGAACAAGGCCTGGAAGGGGGGACACATGCTGGGTCGACGGTGGACGGTCGACGGCGGTTGGAAAGTCTCAAATGTCGCATGTGCGACTGGAAGAATTTAAACCATTAAGCAATCCCTTGACTCAATATCACTATCTGGAAAGTCACGTGCCAGTTTGGGATGCTTTTCGGACTCACACTGATTGGTCGCGACCGCGTCGCCGTTCGGGTTGCTGAGCTGCGAAGAACAAGTGGGGAGCTCGTTCATTGTATCACGCTGTAAAGACTGAAACAAAACACCACATATGATTATATTATTATATATATGGTTAAATATACATATATTATATATATATATCGATCGTTATATGGTTATATATGGTTAAACGCTATATCGAGATAGTGTATAACAAATCGCACATTGGTGTCCTATCAAATCGCAGCGGTTGACTCAACATCCTGCATCTGGAAGGATCGGCCGAACCAAGATCGGTGAATGAGGATAACACCAGGAGTGGATGAAAACAGCGACCCTAAACATCAGTGAAGCTTTGGTGGTAAACTAAATGCTTAAATCCAGATCTACTTGTTGAAAGACACAACAAAACATCATAGAATCATATCTGGCTATGATCTGTCTGAGGTGTCCAGATTCTGGTCCGCAGCCAGGCTTGAGCGAAGGTGGATGATGTTGATCTTAGCTATCTATGTTTCTTTCTCCACAACCAAAAGCTACACAAGCGCTTCTTCCAGTCTGATTCTGCAAAAACCAGGACCAAAGGCGTTGGGAGCCCTCTGGGAAGCTTTCCGAAGAAGGAGAACTCCCTGCTTTTGAGCGCGTGCTTTTGCGCAATAGTCTCTTCGAACGCGATGAGATCTGAGATTCCCAGGCCAAACCCAAAAACTTGATGAGGAAGGCCCCGAGGATACCTGACACAGCTCCAGGTGCACCGGTCTTTAGTTCTACAGTGCTGTTCTGTGAGGCTTGAAAGCCCCACAGCTCAGTGTAGGATTGCACCGTCAACACTTTTGGGCATGAAACCAGCTGATCCTGGCTGCACCTTCCTATGTCCAACGGGCTTGCTTTCTCAAGTCGGACGCCCCCAAAAAGTAGGGCCCATCCCGTCCCTTGCGAGTCACAGGAAGTGACCCGAAAACCCTTTTTGTGTGCCACTTCGAGTCGTTCCGTGCATGAACGACCGCCTACTACGGATTCGTCGTTGCAACTCGCAGGACCCACCGCATCCGACGAAATGGGGCACATGAAATCTGCCGGTGACCAACCTGAGAAATCGACCAACCACGTGTGCTTTTGGGCACCTTAGGCATGTTTGTTGCTAGCGTATAGATGATTGATATGATTGTACTTGCATGTCAATGACCAATGAACCACTTCCTGAACCCTTCTGGATCGCCAGATTCCAACCCCAAACTCCGCCATGCTACCTGACCACCTGACCACCTGAAGCAAGCCAAGCAGCTGAAGAGGAACCACAGGAAAAGCACCAAAAACCACATCCCATCCACCTCGCAAAGCGTGAACCGGCCTTTCTCGCAGGCCGGGTTCTGCTCTTTTCGGAGGTGAGAAACAAAAGGTGTCTTGACTGGCCCCCAACGGCTTGCCCAGACCGGCACATCGTCAGGTCTTGCCGGGTGTCCCCCATGTGTCAGTTGAAAAGAGCTGACGATGTCAATAAATAAACAAAGGAAGAAAGACACATGGGGGACACCCGGGGGGCATCCACCAAAGCTACAATGCTTACAAGATCTTACAAGCTTCAGTTCAGTGTTCCTGCTAGTAACTGCAAGTAAAACAATACGCAATCTGAACATGTTTGAACCTCAACTATAGCACCCATCATCGATGAATGGAGTGTCGTCCATGCTGGGCACTGTCAATCCTTTGGCCGTCTGCAGGTCTGTGCACGTGAGGTTCTCCTTGGTCGAAAGCACGTCTCAGCACAGCGCCCCAGGCACCCCATCCTCCAATTCTCACGCACTCTGACAGGTTCACACATGGAAGTGGAACAAGAAGGAACCACAATCTCCTTTTTGAGGTTGAATTCCCAGAAGCCATCTTCCATAGCTCTTCATGAGGCAGCCCTTCCAACTCCACCCACTCCTCCAAAAGAGGGTGCTTCCCTTTCGCAGGAGTCTTCTTCTGGTCTTCACATCCAGGTCTGTTGAACCCGAAAAAAGCACCTCCACGTTTCCGGAGGCTTCCAAGATGGAGAAGACCAGCAAGAAGACGCCACAGGCGCCCACTGAGCCCAGGCAGCACCTGAGAGAAGCAGCTGTCTTAGAGCGTCCAGAGCGTCCCAGCGGTGTGAAACGGATGAAACACGTCTTGGCGTCGCAGGACGCGTTGCTGCAGGTGGGATGTGGATGTGGTTTACAGAGATCCCTTTTGACAACTTTGTATGAAATCCTGCAATCTGAGGCGTCGGGCATTTCCTTATTCAAAAATTTCAGGTTCCTCTGCACGCCTGGCGAAGGCTGGAAAGAAATCATGTGTGGCGGTGTCCAATCACTGGATGTTCCACTGCCGTCCACTGACTGCCTTGAGTTCCTCTTGAACAAGCCAGGTACGTCTAAGATCCTACACGTCAGGGGAGAAGATCAGCTGAGAATCCCCTGCCCACTGTGGGATCCACATGCAATAGGGCTCTTTCTGGGACTCATGCTTCGAGCGTCGCTTGCGCCGAGAACGTGAAGCCTACAAACCCAGGCACGCGCAGGGCTTTCGTGGTTTTGTCAACCTCTCTTGCTGCTTTCATAGATCTACAAGATCTCGAAAAAACATGAAAATACTCTTTCAGAAACCCAGAGAAGTCAAACCTCATCCCTTCAACCGAAAGAGTTTCTTCTCAATGATCCAGTCTCTGCCACCTAAAACCGCCTCAAATGGTTCACAGATCCCAGATCCCAAAAAGACATGGAAAGTCTAAGACTAATGACTAAGAACACACCAGTCAGTCCAATGATCCAGCCAGTCCCCTGTCCAGCTTCCCAGACCTTCGTCGTTTTCCCGCCTTCAGTTAAGTTCGTCCACATCAACGGGTCGCGCTCGTTCACTTCCTCCGGTGCATCCTGATGGCGCGGAGGAAGAGGCTCCGCGCGGAGGAAGAGAACTCGGGGTCCGTTAAAAGCTTCGTTGGATCCACCACAGGTGATGGAAGAAAGAACACTTGCATGTTATACTGACTGGTGCGACTCATAGGGAATAAGGGAATGAGCCCCCAATAGATATTCTATTGGATCCAGCCACCCTCATTCGGCCTGCTAAGCACCAGTCAGTATATGGATGACTTCTGGTGCCATGGCTGGAGTCCTGGAGTCCGGAGACAGGCAACAAGGAACGAAACGAATCAAAGCGAGTTCATGAAATTCCTCCAACACCCAAAGAGTGGTTCAGAAAACCCACCCTAATCATACCAATATATTGGGTCGATCTATCCTAATACCTGTAACCGTGGATAATGCTGGTTCGTAAAGGCCTTGTTCAAAAATGGTGATAATTGTATACTGACTGTTATTAAAGGTGCGAGTGGATCTTAATCAGCGAAGTTTGAAGCTATCACTGACGGTCCATAAGCGGCGTAGCGTCGGAACGGAAACCGCACCTTTTCTAGTCGCTTGATCCTTGAGCCAAAGTACATATGGTACATATATATGTACAAGTTGCACTGTACGTGTCGCTGCACTTCCATTCGCACCCCCCATGTGAACGTCAACAATATGTTCCGATCACACACGAAAATTTAGGGATGTAAGTGCTACAAAAGAAATTGTATGATTTGCCGCGAGACTCATATGAGGCTCATACTACGAAACATGCTGGACTAAAGCGGACTTTTACATATAAAGTGTGCAACTATGGCTCAGAACCTATGAAAATCGAATTGAACAAGTGAGACAGTCACGAGGCCTCGCTCAGTATCCACTCAAAAGAGCATCGCTTTGATGTAGATCCGAACTGGTGACTTCCACGTAGATGTCACATCGGCAACTGACTTCACACTTCTCAAAAGATGTAGGTTTTGGTTTGGATACACTTACAGAACGGCAAGTCGGAGAGACAGTCGGTGACTGTCTGCCTTCCATTATGCTCATGGTATCAAATCGTCAATCCGATGATTTGCAATGATACACTTACAGCGTTTCAGGTCAGATAGACATCCGGTGAATGACTTCCTCCCTGGTTTGCATGGTATCCTCATAGTCGTTCAAAGAAATCACCACTGGCGATAACCTCTCCATCCACTATGATCCCAGCTGCCCTGAGCATCCCGCCGATCATCTTCTCCCTTCTTGGACTTTCCCTTGGACTTGCTCTTTCCCTTCCCCTTTTCAGAAGGTTGAGGTACTTCGCGACGTTCTTGCGTTAGCGCCGGCCTCCAAGATGTTCCAGATTGGCCTCCTCCTTTGGAATGTCCTCGGGATGATGAAGAAGTTGTACCTTCTGCTGCATGTGCGTTGGCGGCAAGATCTTCCTGCAAAGCTGGCTCAAACACACCGGTAGCACTGGATGGTGATTTATCATGTGGTCTGGCTTTTGGAGCAGCCTTCGCCTTGTTCTCATCTGCTGATGAGGGCCCGAAACTCTTAGGTGCTGTTGAAGGTTTTGGCTCCTCACTTGGTGCTGACGACGGCTTGGCCTCGGTTCTGGGTGTAGATGCTGGCTTTGCCTCAGCTCTTGACGAAGATGCTGCTTTCGCTTCAGACTTAGTCGTTGATGTTGACTTAGCTGTTGCCTTGGCTGCCTGCTTCTTCTTGTCCTGAATCTCCTTGGCCCTATCTCCAAAGCCTAGACGATCGGTAAGAGCTTGAACATGCTTCTGTTCTACCACGCTCATCCATCTCTCTGTATGTCCAATGTTGGGATTTCTGGCCATTGACTCTACGACATTCTGAGCGTGTGGGGGCAACCTGATCTCATGTTGATCAATGATCAGCAGAATAGACTTCTCCCATTTGCTCTTCATTCTCGAGTACATGATGTCCAGAGGATCGATCACCTTGTGGTTGGGTGATGTAACGTCGGTTCTAAAGTAAGAATATGTCCGACAACCATAAATCGCATGGATGCACTTCTGTACCAATTCAGTCATTGCGCTGGCTTTCTTCGCTTTCAACTCCTCAAGCTGGACGTCAGTCAAGTTGGTGGAGTATTCGAAGTTGCCATATTCCTTCTTGAAGGAGTACGGAGTATGACCAAATGATAGGATCACGAGTGCCACCTTGCAAATGAATTGCTCTCCTCTGAATCGGTGCCAGGCCTCCTCAATCGTAATCTTGTTTTCGTTGGCAAAGATTCTCATCATGTCATCTGTTGGATCCAATGGTCTCCCATCGTCATCGATTTCAGTGAAATCCTCTGTACCGAACTTGCTTATCACATCCAGTCGCTTCCTTTTCCAATTTGCTTTGAAGTCGGTAAGGCTGGTGCAATAGTAGCTCTTGTACATCAGGGAAATCATGTTCAGCACACATTTGACCACATACCTATCCATCAAACCCGATGCATTCATGGAGACGTCCTGACAGTAGGCTCTCTCTTGATGCGCATAGATTCGAGGTTCCGGTACTCGACAATAGATGGGGAGATCTTCGTTGTCTCTTCCTTCTTCGGGATTGAACTCGGTCGCTCCATGCTGTGCATAGTATCCCGGTTCATCACGATCTGTCGGTCGATTCGCCTCCGGATGTAAGTCGTCGGTGACGTCTTCATCCTCGGGCTCACCATCTTGACGTTTCTTCCCCTCATATTGTTGTGTGCTCCTCTGGATCTCGATGATCACGTTTCGTTCGTCTTCATCTTCTAGATCAGAATCACGACCGTAGTCGATCTCGTCCTCATTGAAAGATGGGGTCTCGACATTGTCACTCTTGAAGTTTTCTGCACCATCAGACGGTTTGGAAGGATCTAGATTGTCCATGTCCTCGTCGTCGTCAGCTGCTTCAGTTTGAGCGATGTCTTCTTCCCAAGCCTTTCTGATCTCGTCCATAGTGGCCTGGTCCAAGATATCTTGATCATCATCTTCAGGCTCCTTCTCTTCCTTCTTTTCCTCTTCATCGTCGCTCACAAGATCAACGGGTGAATCGGAAATGACAGTGTTGCGAATACCACACGAGAGTAGCCTGCCTTGACAAGATAGACACACGGACAAAGATGAAGAAGTCAAATGCATACATGATGGACACAAAATATTGCCATCCACGTTGCGATACCCTTCACATGTTCTGGAGATGATTTCGTCCCAAGTTTCCTCACTGATGGAATCCTCGATCAGCTCTCCATTGTCATCGAATTGTACTTCATCGATAAGGGACACGAGCTTTTGGACGTTGTCATCTGTCGCCGAGGCTGACTTCGTGACTTCGTCGGCTCTCTCGAGGATGGTATGCTTCTGAGCAACCCAAAGTCCATGACGTGCCGCTAGAACAACTTGCTCTCCAGTGCTTCCCAGCAGGAGTCTCCTCCATGCCTGAACGTAGTCGTCCCAATACCAAGCACCTCGTACACATCTCCATGGAACTTCTCTAAAAACAACAGTGTAGGAATTCTCCGAAATTCTTCCCCCAAGCTTCCTCAAAGTCATGATTGGAACATAAAGGCAAACGGGCATTCCCACTCTTGGCCATCTTGATCTCAGAATCTTTGATGATCGATCATCCCACGGCGCAAAGTGGTTGAAGAAAACACTACCTCTATATCCCTCCGTTCCACCAGGGACAATTCCTAGTTTCATGATTGACTCAATATTGGAAAGCGATGTCATGTGAAAGCTTCCTCCAAGCTGCATTGCCACATTCTCTGGAATGAGATGTGAAGTCCACACAGGATATATTGACACATCCTCTTCAAGAACAGTCTCTCTTCCAGAATTGTGAGAGGCAACAGCTCGAATTGCACAAGGAACGATCCAACGTTCATGCTTCAGAAATGACGGTGCATCTGTGCTGTAATACATGAGGTTTGCCCAGTATTGCCTTTCCTCTTCGAGTGAGACATCCTCCCTTGAGATACGAATGGCGGCAATCTGATAGCGTACTCTGTCCTGCAACTTCTTTGCATGCCACATCGCCTTGCATAAATCCTGGTATCGCTCTGTCTTGACATCTTGCTCACGTCGATCACCTGAGATAGTACTGATATCGACACCATCGTTGAAGACATGGTCATATTCCAGGATCTCATCGATGTTCACCCATCCACCCTCATTGCACTTCCCTAAGGATCCGAGAAGCCACTTTTAAAAATAGCTTCTGGTGGAAGCTAAGATTTTAGGCTGGCAGCCATGGAAAGTGGCTTCCGGGTTTTGAACTCTAGAAGCTACAAAAAGTGGCTTCTGCAAATCAGCATGTGCATCTTTTTCCTTGGCACAACTGTGTGAGACAAGGTGAAACATATTGTACCTATGGTTGCATGGCCTTCTTTCAGGCTGAAGCTGGACATCGGATTTGGGCCTTCTTCAGGCTGAGCTGGGCAAGTTGACATTCAGAGGGGGTGTGTCATTCATGAAACAAAGGAGGGTTTTCTCTGCTTCATTGCTTGCATTTCTCTTCCCACCCCTTCTGAGTGCCCACTGCTGCATGCAGGCTAAATCAAAAATATGCTCAGCCAAGTGCCACTTAGGCTTGGCATGCCAGGAACAAACATCATTTTCATCTTCTCTTTGAATGTGAGATTCCAATGCCATGTACTGGCTCTTCAATGCCCTTCCATATTTGGCCAGCTTCCTGCCATTGAAAGCTTCCACGTGCTGATAGACTTGGGTGGTGAAGGTGGCAACTTTGTGGATTGCTTTTTGCAGGCTGGTGCCTGTGTCAAACTCGTGTGCACTTGTCAAAGTGCTCAAAATCCCCTGCCTGCAGGTTCAGGGGCCTTCCCAGGCTGTTTGGGCAATTGCGCACTGGCTGGGACACCCAACTCTGAGTAGATAGTCTGAATATGTGCCCACAATCTGCTTGCTTTTTCTGGCTTCTTCCCTTCATAGCAGGGCAACAAAGCGTTCAAAACTTGCCCTGCACAGGCTGCACCACATCCTTCATCCATGACACGCATCCAATCAGGGACTATGGTGTGG